CCTCGGCTGATTCCTAGACGAGGATGTAATGCACAAATAAGTTCGGAAATTACTAGTGAATTTTTGGGCGTGACAAATATTTCCCCTACTTACTTAATTAATGGATTAGTACTACAGTAAAGTAAGATTCTTCAAGCTAACACATATCTAGATTCTGGATAGGCGTCGCTTGTTATGACTAAATCAAGAGTGGTCTCGAATTAGATTTTGCGCATTTTTATCTATTCACATCATCCAACCTCTCCTTCAGAAAATGTGAGAGCTTCACACACAAATGGGAGATCAACCGTATGAGGGTAATTCACTACTCTATTTTATAATTTCCCTCACAAACCGACTGGTTCTTGCATGCGTGGATCTACCTGAACTCTTTTTTTTTTTTTTGAGAAACTACCTGAACTCTTTTATTGCACCTAGTCTAATAATGGACTTTGTATTATATCGTGATGGGCTATCATTAGCGGATCTTATACTATTTGGCCCCATGGGTCACGGAGTTTGGCCCCGGATACCCCAAATTAGTCCCATAAAATAAAATAGGTTATAATAATCTCAAACTAACAAGTGGATGAAATAATCAAAATTCCTTTGTTAATGAAAGAAAAAAAGAGAACTGTTTCATTCCTATTAACATACCCGGATGGAACATATATACTGAATTGCTATATGGAATTCGATAGAAATTTCTGGATGAAATCTTACAGATTTTATATCGTTGGATCCATGCCAAGATTCGTACATCGCTTCTTCTCCTCCAACTCTGGCGAGCTCCCCTTCTTCTCCGGCGCTGGCGACACCCCCAACACCAGCAGGGAGCATACAGGTATGGGTTTGGGGTTGGGATTAGGGTAGGAGGGGTTAGGGGAGGAGGAAGTGGGGGGGTTGGCCGTGGGCGGTGGAGGACTGACAGTGGGTGGTGGACCCGGGCAGGTGGCGAGGCGTTGGCAGCGGTGTCGAAGACATGAGGTTGGCAGCAGGTCGAGGGCCAGCCTTGGCGGCAGGGGAAAATACCCAGACTGGTTAGGAGACGGAGGCTGGGTGGTGGCAAATCTGGTGGCTGGGAGCCATAGGAGATAGGGAGGACGGCGGGGCGGGGGCACTCACCTTAGGGAAGAGAAGGGCGGAGGTGGAGAAAGCCGGTGCCGTTGACACCTTCCGACCAGCCGGCGAGGCTGGGCAGCGGCGCGGCGAGGCGACAGGGTGGCGGCCCGGCAACTGCGTGCAGGATGCAGAGGCGGAGGAGAGCTCGCACACGCTCGTGCAAAATGGTGGTGGCGACGGCGGGCAAACTGAGAAGAGTCGGATTGGAAAAATGGTTATGGCTATTGACAATCGATCGAGACGATCGATGGATGGTGTAGCGGGAGGACTCATCATATCCTTGCCTCCACGGAAGGGGTGCCATGGATGTCCTGCCGCCTGATGGCGTTTCCATGGGATCCTTTGACGACGGCATGGTACAAGACGATGCCACACGCCTGATGGATTGCATCGTCGCCTCCAACTCGCCTTAGAGCCAAATCAGCTTTGTTCCCTCCGGATAAACCGTAGATAGCGCAGGCTTATCGATCTGGGCTAGCGAGAAGTATTTAGAATTAAATTTAAAAATATATTGTTCTTTTAATTTTTTCTCATGAATATTCGGGATGTAAAATTTTTTGTGTAAATATACCTTCGATCTCGCACAACCGTTGCGCGAAACCGAGATTGGTGTGACGTCATGGGCGGTACCGCGCGTTGAAAGTGCGAGAACGCGCGGTCTAGCGCGACGAAGGCACGAGAGCGCGCGGTTTCGCGCAATGAAAGAGCGAGACCGTTCGGTCTCGCGGAATCAAATTGCGTAAATGTCCACAGGCTCCATTTAATTAGTGCTTAATTACTTAATTAGCAATTAACTAATAATAATTAGCAACTAATTATCCTAATTAGCGATTAATTAATAATTAATTAATTGTAATTAATTAATCGCTAATCAAGATAATTAGTCGCTAATTGAATCAGCATGGCACCGGTCTCGCTCAGTGCTTGCGCGAGACCGTTCTGTCTCGCTGCGCCATTCCGCGAGACCCGTTGTTCCGCGAGACCGCGCGGTCTCGCGCCTTCGCCGTGCGATACCGTCCACGACGTCATTCCCACGTCATTCTCGCGCAACGGTTGTGCGAGATTGACGGTATATTTACGCAAAAAATTTTACATCCCGAATATTTATAAGAAAAAATTAAATAAACAGTATATTTTTAAATTTAATTCGAAGTATTTATACGCGAGATCATTAGTATTCCTGTTTTCCCATTACAATGCGAAACTTTTTCTCGTTCAAAGCGGATCCGCCTAGTGGATCCGGTAACAAGCTTCATCGAGGCTTGCAGCGATGGACGGTAGATGGAACCGGGAGTACGTACTCTTGAGGGTACAGAATCATTTTCATATCTTAATCTTAACTAATTAAAAGATTCATATTTTTCCGTTCGTCACTTTCCCGTTTCATCCGTTTTTCGTTCGTCACTTCAGCCGCGATCACCCGTCGCTCCTCCTAAACTCTTTTTCATCCTCAGAATCGGATTAAGAAAACCAAGTCATAACAACAGAATCCTCGTATGAATCCAATCTTAGACAGGCACTTTTCAAAATCAGTGTTTCACAGCTTCCATACAACCAAATCAGATGCATAACGAAAAGCAAGATCAGAAGATAAACAGCAAAATCCAAAAATTTGTTCTACCTCCAGCCACCGCTTGAGAGACACCATCGTCATTGCGTCATCATCTACAAACCGCTAAAGCCTGGCTCCCTTCCTCCGTTGCCATTGCCACTACCTCTATGTGGAGATAGCGACAAGAAGCAGGTTAGGGGTTGCCATGGATACATCAAGAGGAGGGGGAGGCAACGCCAATGGTGATCTCCGACCACCGCACATTCACGACCTGCCCCTACCACCGCATGGCCGCGCCAGTGTCCCGGCCTCCACATCGCACCGAGCCACCACCGCCGCACGGCCTCATCCTCGTCGTCTCCCTGCCGTGCCTCCACCTAGCCGCGCAGCCGTTGCCCGTTGCCTGACCGACTGACACAAAAGGAGGAAAAGAGAAAAAATAGCATCAGATTTGTACGAACAAACAAACAAACATCATATGGACTAAGGGGTACGGGGAGCGACGGAGAGGAAGCCACGCTGCCGTGGGGGGAGCCGGGGAGGGGGAGGGGGAGGGGCGGAGATGGAGGGCGTGGCCGGCTGAGAGAAGGAGAAAAGGAGGGAAAGGAAAGAGGGAAACGAAGGAGAGAAGGGCGAGCAAGAAAGAGGCGGAGGCGAGGCGGAGGAAAGAGATCGGGAAAACAAATGAAGAGATAAGGACGGGCGAAAGAATCGAGGTGCGTGGGCAGTTGGGCACGCCGCTCTCTCTCCGCTCTTAGAGCAAGTACAATAGTAGGCTATAAGCTAGCTATAAACATATTTTAAAGAGATAAAGGAAGAGAGAGCAAGTACAATAGTAGGCTATAAGCTAGCTATAAACATATTTTAAAGAGATAAAGGAAGAGAGAGAAAAGCAGCAGACTACAGATATGTAGCCAGCTGCATCACGGACTCCAAGACGTAATGTGTGTATGACAGGTGGGACAGGTATTAATAGTATAGTAAGCAACTATTGTATGAATTGGCTATTACATTGGCTATAGATAATTTGGAGCTAGTAGTGGGCTATACTATTAAACTTGCTCTTATGGGCCGTTAAAAAAAACTATTATAAATTATTTTTTTAAGAAAACGGTGCATATATGTCAGTTTTTATTTGAAATTAGGTGGGAAAAGGATTAGGAAGGACTAGAGAATCTATTTTTGCAATTAATTAGAGAAGAAAATGTATATGTAGACATTTTATTTTGTATAGATTTTGGAGCGGATGTTCTTTTTTTTACAGACTTTGAGTCGGACGTTTTTTTATTTTTTGTTTACGGACGAGAAGTCCTGTTTTCCAGGGAGTCAGACGTTTCTTTCCTTTTTTTTTACGACAGAATTTTTTTCTTTCCTTTTTTGTTACGATAGAATTTTATTCTCGCCATTTTTTTAGTTTTATACTGACAACGGAAACATCTATTATTTTATTTTTTTTATTTATTATTTATTTTAGATAATCTTTTTTAATTATTTTAATTTTAATTTTATTTTTTTATTAGGTTTATCTACTTTAAAATATTGATTTTCTGTTCATCACACAAATTTCTATCTTTATCTCCTGCACAAAGGCAATCACACTGTTCGCCCATTCGTTCCTCCCATATGCTACATCCATCACGCGTCGTGTCACGAGCATCATCCACATCCCGTAAAATATAAAGTAGATTAATTGTCCAAGAACAAACATGACTTTTTGTCATTATACACATCGTCAATGCCGATGATCATGCTCGGGTGCTTCGATAAATAATTGAGATCAAACTTCAGCCACATCTGGTGCAACGCACGAGCATTTTGCTAGTATATGTATATATATGTATATCTATATGGGTAAATTAACTGGTGCTACATGGAGTATGGGCTCCAAGATTCAAATTGAGTATATATCCAATTTGAATGAGTATGAATTTTTTTAAAATGTTTAGGTATGAACATTAACTTCTTGACTACCAAGTTCAAACAAATTTGAACTGAGTTTGAACTTTTTTTTTGTTAGATTTTGGTTCTAGGTATATAACATCCAAACATATAATTCGCTAGGTATGTAATAATGAATTGTGAAATAAAGTTGAGTCTAATTTATTTTGTTGTTAGGTATTGGTATGAATCAAATTCATATACCTGGGTTTATACTCACAATTTAAATTTTTAAAAAAAATTTGAGAGATTTTGTGTGTTTTATACTTTGGAGCCCGGGCACCATGGAGTCCCATATGGGTATCCCATATGTATGTATGTATGTATGTATATGAAGGTTAAAATATAATTTATTTGAATATCCTGATCGAACAGAGTTGTATACGAGGGTAAGTGCTAAAAGGTCAAATTTCAGGGAAATATAACTATTTGATGTGAAATGTTTCTAGATGAGGTTCCAAATCCTTGGGCTGAGCTTAATACAAGTGGTGTGTAAGACATTTTCATGTGCCAATTACCAAATGCGATAAATTCATAAGAATAATTGTCGCAGAAAAATGTTCACTAAAATTTTAATGCTAGAAATAATTTCTAGGACGACTTGATAAAGTCAACCAAGTCCTGTAGGGCTAAATCAGAAGAACCACCTTTCGTAGTGCATTTTGACACGACATCACCCATCTCTCTCATCCTATCTCTAACTACTCCACCCTCTATCCCATCCATCAACCTCTCAATCGCTGCCTGTATTCCCCCTCTGGTCAGCTTATCCTCGACCTCAACCCTAACACCCACCTTCCACATGTCACATACATACCTCGCCGTCCCTAACTGGTCACCGCCACATGGCTTGCATATCATCGGCACGGTCCTGGATATGCTCTCCAGCGTCGAGTTCCACCCACAGTGTGTCAAAAACGCGCCTATAGCGGGGTGGCTCAGGACCTCCTCTTGTGGTGCCCACCTGATGATCCTCCCTCTGCCACGTGTCTCCTCGAGCAGCTCGCTGGGGAGCTCGACGGAGTCGCGCCCACGGACCAGCCTTGGCCGGACCACCCACAGGAACGGCCGGTTGCTGGCAGCGAGGCCCCAAGCCACCTCCAAGAGCTCGTCGGCGTCAATGGAGACGAGGGTGCCGAAGCTGACGAACAGCACGGAGCCTGGGAGCTGCGTGTTCAGCCATTCCAGGCAGCTGCGGTCCTCGAGGAGCAGGCTGCTTTTCTGCGTCGCCACCGTCGCTGGTGGCGAGAGCATGTGGAGGGGGCCAACGGGGAACACTGGGATGGCGGTGTCGCGCCGGATCTGCTCGACGTCGGTGCGCTCGATGGCGTTGAAGGTGTTGAGGATTAGACCAGAGGATTGGCGGACACCGGCGACGATGTGGGCGAGCAGGCTGGCGTAGGCGACGTGCCGAGACGTGTCCATCATGATGTGGAGGTCTCGCACCAACAACGGCGGATGCTTGTCCACTGGCATGTCCAGATTTGACTCTGAACAACATATACGATTGCATTATGTAGTCAGTATTGAATGAAAAGTGGTTTCATTCATCAAGAGGATATCCTCTCATTTCTTGTACCTCACTTAGATAATTATAAAAAATAAAAAAAATTGACAAAATAAAATAATATCAGATAGATCACTATGTAAACATGCAGGTACACAAATAACAAATATAAATATAAATATATGATAACTAGCTATAGTTTAATTTGTTCTTTTACATAGTGAAATTTCTATGGAAATGTGTGAAATTTCTATAGAATGCCTCACTTCATGCAAGTTTTAAAAGAAACTAGGAAGAAAGCCTGCGCATGTGCACGGGCAATTTATTTACTGTTTATAAAAATAATATTAAAAGAAGCCCTATCTCACCATATTCACTACAACACCAACTTTTGGGTTTGAATGTGGGAACCCACTTGTGGGTTTGAATATGGAAGAAGTGAGTTTTTTCGAATGGAGAGAGTAGACAATAGATGCTAACAGTTGATACACTAAACGATATTGTCAGAAAATTTGGATGTCTTTTTAATAGATATTATTACATCTGTACCTATAAAAAACCAAATGCGTCATTAATACCAAAAAACTTCAGCTCTACTTCATACCCATGTCTCATAGATATCCAAATCTATATATAAATATTTAAAAATTCTGCTTCTACCAATTAATAGGATAAAATCGTATATGAATGCCCCTCTAATAGCTGGGTGAAGCCAATTGTAGCCACTAAGGCTTTTTCCTTGGATGCCTTGACTTATGGGTCCCGTATTGATATAGTCGTGCTCATCACGAAAAGTGTGAAGTATAATTTTATAAAGGATTGTATTTGTATGTAGGTCAATTGAGCTCTATTGTCAACAATTATAACCTTTTACTCGGACCACCTCAACTTAACAATGCATACTCCTGTCATTGTTATTTCAACGTGGCCAATTAAGATTCATGCTTGTTGCCCTTTAGGATATGAGTGAATAAAGATGGAGGTGATGAAAATAGTTTTTCTTATATCTTGGGTTGACTTGTTGTATAGAGTAGATATAATTTGTTTCAAGTGTTAATCGATAGTACAGAAATAATTTTCTCTTTTAAAAGTTTTCATGGTTGATCATTCCACTCTACTTAAAAAAAACTAATAGCTTCAATGGTGACGACCACGTAAAATTTTTTTTTCTCAAATTGTGATCCTTTGCTAACATACGAGTTAATATAGGTTTTGATTTTTTTTTCTTGTTTACACATTTAATTCACGTATGCTTTGTTCACGGTGATTAATATTCGATGGAATTTGTCAAAACTATTTGTGCTAATTGTTAACACAATTTGAATAACAATGACGTTTAAAACGGGGATATAATGTAGTTAAGTGTATGTTTTTTTCCGAATAGTATTCTCTCGTATGTTTGTTTTTTCATTTTCTTTTAATGAATTTTATCTATCATAGAGACAGGGTGTACGTATGTGTATTCATAGTGTGCGTACGCATGCATTTATAAGAGCTCATGTGAGCCTTTTACATCATTGGTACAAAAGAATACTTCAAAAAAATTGATGGCAAGAGGGTGAGCAACGGGTGGCGTGAGGCGGCGCCATGGCGTGGCTTCTTTTACCACCTCGCTTGGAGTGGTCGCTACGCGTATGCTCAATTTGGGAAAAACCTTATAGCTGGTAAGAAAAAGAAAACTACCAAATGGGACATATCATATCCACACTCCTTTTTTTTCTTTTTATATACGTTGCATACGCATGTACATAGGAGTTGTGTATGTATGTAAGGGAAGATTAGACAGCCTTTAGGATAGAGGAACTACTGTCATAGATCTAATTTATTTGTTGAAAATAATGGATCACCGATTTTGAGTGTAAATCGATGGATAGATGTTTTGCCTTTTATTATTTTATTTCTTATATTCTCTCTTATTAGAGGGTCATGTGACATCTTATAAGCGTTTATATGAGTGTAGGAACACTATTACTCATAGCCGCAATCTATTTATAGTCAACTATTATTTGCGGTGGATTGGTTGCGTCCTCTATTTAACTACTCCCTCTATCCCATAATATAAGGTGTGGTCAAAGTTGGCACAGTCTCCAAAACTAATTTTTAACTTATAATTTCTCATATACTATAAGATTTGTAGCAACAAAATTATAACCATATGAATGTAAATTTAAATCTCAATCTAATGATATAATTTTTAACTAATAAAATTTATTTTATATTATACTAAGTGTTGGTCAAATGTTTTAAAGTTTGAATCTTGAAATGCGTCCATGTCTTATATTATGGGATGGAGGGAGTATCATTTGTTGACCGTTATGCACTTAGTATTGCCCTTTATATTTGTGCTTGATAACACACGTGCTTATTAGATAGATACCTCATAAGTAATATGAAATATGACTTGGCGATTAGTGGATAGTGGCTTATATATAAAACTTACAAACATAGGGATCAGTCAGGACATACAATTGATATTTTAGGCTAGGATTGACCAAGTATATTCTAAACTACATAATATGTGTTTTATTATCGAAGTAATAAATTTAAGAGCGCGTTCTAACGTGTATATAGGATTAGATACTCCCTTATTTGTAGCGAGCACATTTCTCGAGCGGCTAAATGCTGCATTACAAGGTGCATGTTATTCAAATCCTTTATATATATAAAAGTTGTTTTTTAAAAAATAAATTCATTTTTAGTTTTGTAATATTTAATACTCAATTAATCGTATGGTAATAATCTGTATCACTTCGTGTGCCTGGATAAGCTCACTTAATGACGAAGCCTAAGTAGGACATAGAAGACATGGACACGATATCAAAAGAACATACTTGACCGTTAATTTCTAATAATATATATAAAAAAATTATAATACATGAAAATACATTCATGACAAATTTAGTAATATTATTTTGATATAACAGTTTTTTTCATAGTAAGGAGTGAGTATTTTTTTGAATATTACTCACAACTGGAGTTGTTTTGTTTTTGAAAATACAAATCGAATTCAACAAAACATGTTATTAAGTGATATACAATTATATAATTATATAATGTATATTATTCATTTTATTTAGATTATGGATATTTCGATGACGTGAGTTTAGTACAATACAACTGAAAAAAACTTATATTTGTGCAACTATGAGCTGGAACTATTAATGTGGTTTTTATCTCATGTGAGTAAAAAAAGGAAAAACGAAAGACTATTAATATGGTTTTTATCTCGTGTGAGTGAAAAAAGGAAAAATAAAACAAAAGGATGGACGTGGGGCACTGCGTGAGAAGTACATACTCCTATGTACTCCTAAGAACTATATGGGCTGGAAATTATGAATTTTGTTTTTTTATGTTAGTGAAAACGAAAAAAAAGAGGGGCATGGGGCCCACGTACAAAATATGTACGTATATGCACGTACATGTATCGATGTACGGGAGCTGTGGTTTTTTAAATATAAATATTGTTGGTTTTTTAAGCTATATCTAACGGTTGAAAATAATGGATCCATCAGATTAAATCAAAACCAATGGTTAAATATTTTACTTTTTTTTATAATATCTCTAATTTAATAGAGTGCCACGTGGCGGCGTATTAGCGTTGTACAGTGCCACGTGGTGGTTTGGGAGTATTTTTAGGAAGTTTATTTAACTTTTAGTATATAATAGATAGATAGATAGATAGATAGATAGATAGATAGATAGATAGATAGATAGATAGAAGATTTAACATGGGCTAGAACCTTATGGAAATTTTTCTTTGAGTATTTATCTTTACTTAAATTCTTGTATTTTTTTCTGCGGTTCAATTAAACGATATTTTGTATTTTTCCTATATTTTGCAATCATTTATTTTATATTTATATTCATATCAGAATCTTATGTTTTGCTTATTCGTCTATTTTTTTTATTTCTACGATTCAATAGGCCCTGATTATTCTAATTAGTCTGCTGAAACTAGTTCTCTGACGAACACATTTTCGCCGGGCCATTTCAAAATAATGGAAAAATAATTCTAATTAGAAGCTCTGAATAACCAATTTATATTGAGGAAAACCATAGCCGCAGGCATCAGTTTTCATGTCTTCTTTGTAAATCAGTTGTTTCCTAATTGTAAATTAATTAGTGGGTTGTTTTAGTCATGTATTCCATCATATTATGGACCACACGTGGGAAAAAAGAGAAAGAAGAAACCAAGTTTGTATTCTTCACTGCTAACTTACATTATCATGTATTGACCAATGACCATCTGCACTCTATCAACCCTGAATTTTTATATTCACCGTAGGTGTGGAATTAATGGACGCTTGTGATTGACGAACGGTAAACTTTGGCACTGTTTATTATAGGGGTGGAAAGTTTTGGTGTGTCACATCGCATATACATGAATACACAATTAAAGTATTAAACGTAGTCTAATAACAAAATAAATTGCAGATTTTATCTGTAAACTGCGAGACGAATTTATTATGTCTAATTAATCTGTCATTAGCAAATGATTACTGTAACACCACATTGTCAAATCATGACGCAATTAAACTTAAAATATTTGTCTCGCAATTTACACACAATTTGTGTAATTAGTTTTTTTCTATATTTAATACTTCATGCATGTGTTAAATATTTGATGTGATAGGGTAAAAAGTTTCTGCGTTGATACTAAACAGGGCCTTTGTTGTTATGCCCAAAGGCAGGGGATGTGAACCCCAGACAAAAGAGCACTACATTTAGAATAGTTCGTTCATAACTTTATATTGATAGTGCGGCATGATGCAAAATAGCGTATTACTCCTATCTATCAGTGCATCTTTACATAATATATTGTCAGTGCATGAAAATAAAAAAAAGTAATGCTTTTAAAATGTAAACAACAAGAGACATAATTATTACTCCTTCCATTTCATATTGTAAACAACTTATTTAAGTTTAATCAAATTTATAGAATAATATAGTGTTAATTACCTTGGACAGGTAAATATCCCTTTTCACACAGCCGAGGGTACGCCAGGTACACCCTGAACCTCGCCGCGCTGCTGGTCATCAGCGCCAGCGCCGGCACGCCGAGCTCCCTCGCCGCGGCGAGCGGCGCGAACCAGTCGACGTCGGCGACCACGCACGCGACGCCGCCGCCGTCCTCCTCCTCCTCCTCCTGCCGGAGCGCGCCGGCGAGGAGGTCACGGAACGGCGCCGCGCAGTTCCTGTTCAGCGCGAACACGAACGACGGGATGTCGCCGGACGCGGCCAGCTCCGGCGGGAGGCCGTCCGGCACGGTCACCAGCTCGCACCCGGCGGGGAGGCTCCGGCGGTCGGGCGCGCGCGTCTCCGTGTGGACGACGGTGACGGCGAGGCCGCGGTCGTGCAGCGCGGCGGCGAGGCGGAGCATGGGGTTGATGTGGCCGTGGTATGGCAGCGGGAGCAGCAGCACGCGGCGGCGGCCTTCGTGGCCATTCCGGTCGCTTGCAGGCGCCATGGCATCGAGATGTGTGTGACTGAGACGCATGAGTCCATTTATGACACAAATGCGTGCGTACTTTCATAGGGTTTTTTTTTTCTTTTCTTTTCCTTTTTCTTGTGGAAAGCGTATTTAATTTGATAGTTTGTGGGTGATGAGTCCGCACGGCAACATTTTGGCAGTGTCCAGCATTCCTGTTCCCGGGGCCACCACATCCACATGGCCATTCTGTAAAGACAAAAAAAGAGGAAAGATTCTTTTTTCTTACAATTTTCGAGATTTTATTTGAACGAGACGACATAAGACAGCGGCCATGTCATACGCATGAGGGTGACTATTGGAACGATTTTGGAATATAGTGCAAATTTTTAATGCTAAGATCCACACAATCTTGATAAGAATGTGAGATTTAGGGGCTGTTTGGTTGCTACCCTGAGAGAAATTGCCTGACCTAAAGCCAGCCTGAGACTAACACAGGTCTTGTTTGGTTGGTGCCCTTAGATTCCAAACCCTTCGCCTGCCCTGACGCAGCCCTTCCCGTCATTAGCGTGAGCTAGGCGACCGAAATCGATCGCCTGAGCTCCAGGCAGCAACAGCGATACATACTTACCATCCTAATCTTTATCCAAAGCGGCCACGCGACGTAGATTCCAGGAGCGAAGCTGCGCTGCTTCCGCGAAGCCGCCGCCGACCGCCATCTTGCCGGATCCTTGCGAAGCCGCCGCCGCCCGCCGTCTTTTGTAATCCCTGCGAAGCTGTGCTACTCTCGCTGGCGTGCGAAGCCACCGCCGTTTTGCCGGATCCCTGCGAAGCTGTGTTGCTCCCGCCGGCGGGTGAAGCTGTCGCCGTCTTGCCGGATCCCAGCATAGCAGCACCGCCCATGCTAGATGCTGCCCAGGCTGCCTTTCGTGCAAAATAGTAAGCAGATCGATTTGCAGGTTGCCAGATGCATTTGCACATCTGGGCAGAATCATCTGAAGGTTGTGCTCCTGATGCACGGATTTGGGATCTATTTGACTCTTCGATTGCGTTCTCCTCTCTCTTTTTTTCCCTGCTTTTTTTTCTAGATTTTTATCCTCGTTATGTATGCAAGATTTGTGCTTGTACATGGGAAGTTGGGTTCATAAATGGATCTTGGCAGGAGGTTTAGATGCAATTTGTGGCAAGATTTGTGACGGCCATTAATAATTGATTTAGCTGTATAATAATTAAAGGCGTAATTGCATATTTGTTTCTCAGGCAGCAACAAACAACCAAACAAGCATATACTCAGGCTACCTGACCAGGCTAGATGCATTGTCTTCTCGCATGCCACTCAGGCGCACAGAAATTTCAGGCATGTTGCTCAGGGCAGCAACCAAACAACCCCTTAGAGCACTAACAGGGCAAACTACACTAAGTTTCCTCATAAAAAGAGAACTACACGCAGGAGAAATCACTAACAAGACACACCTTCCATAGTGTAGGTACCCCGCCATCTCCTCCCCTCCCACCGCCGTCGTCAGGTGGTGCGGTGGAGGGAGAGGGAGCGAGAGAGAGAGATAGCTGAGAGAAAGAGAGAGACGGACAGGGGAAGGGAGGGCGCCGCCGCCACCTTAAGCCGTAGGTCCGCCACCATCTTATCCCCTCCCACCGCCGTCGCCGGGTGGTGCGGTGGAGGGAGAGGGAGCGAGAGAGAGAACTTAGAGATGGGGAGAGAGAGACAGCAGAGAGCAAGTCGAGAGAGAGTGAGCGAGAGAGAGACAGAGAGAGAGAGGCGAGAAAGAGACGTGCGGTGGAGGGAGAGTAATCCGTGGTAGATAAGGACAAGAAGGATGTAGGAGAGTGATATTTAGCCTTGGTTGGTATCACCAATCAGGATTAAAGATATGATCTTTAGTCCTGGTTGGTGATACCAACCGGAACTAATGTTCGTTGGGGACCTCACATGGCCTGACAGCTATTGAAAAGGGACTAAAACTGATTCCAACCCAAACTAAAGATCAAAAAGTACCGCTGGGTATTTGAACTCGGTTCCTATTCGATCTGGGACTGATGTAATTTTCGTCATCCGTGTAAAGATTAGTTCTCCAGTAGTGACACCTCCAATACCATCTAGAATTGGTCCGGATATTGTCCACTAGCCAAGCATGGCATGGGAAGAAGAAAGTGAGAGATGGAGGGTTCAAATGATCCAACGTGCAACAAAAGATATTATACCTAGCCCAAACTGAAAATTTTCTTGTGATGGTCCAAGGTGAAACCTTCGTAGCATAGGTAGATCAATGTACTATTTACTCTTATATTTATAGTAGGCACTGAAATATGTCTTTGTAATCCAGGTATATCATTTCCTATGACAAGCGTAGCTAGCCTTAATGAATATATACATGACTCATTTTTATAAGTTTTTAATAGCTATAGCTCTCAAAATCTTTAGCTTCCGTAAATAGTCTAGATTTTTAACTAGATTCTACCGGTTAGTAGTTAGAAAATCCATCAAATAAAATAAAAGTCAAAAGCTAGAAAACTTAGTACTCCCTCTAGTTTTTTTTGTTTGACGTTGCCGACCGGTTCGATTAAATTAAGGAAGCTGTGAATTGACTTGTTTGCCTTCACCCTTATCCCTTTGCACTGATACGTTTCATCCATGCAGGGGGGAAGAGGGGAAATTTGCGTACGGGAGGAGGGCTTCTGAACTGCGAGCGTCAAACAAATAAACCCTTTTGAGTATGAACTGGAACGTCAAACGAAAAAAATGGGAGGGAGTATTTTCATATTCGGACCAGCTAACTACTCGTTAGCTATCTCTCAAAATATCAAGCTACCTAAACAGAGCTATAGCATGCTATTCGCTTATAAGATTGATTTTGAAAAGGCTTATGACAAAGTTAAATGGCCTTTTGTACAACAAACATTAAGAATGAAAGGCTTCTCTCCTAAATAGTGTGAGTAGATAGCGTCTTTTATTCAAGGTGGCCATGTTGGTATAAAAGTTAATGATCAAATTGGTAATAATTTTCAAACTTACAAAGGTCTTAGGCAGGGGATCCTTTATCTCCTATTCTTTTTATTATTGTAGCTGATATGCTTGCTTTATTAATTAAGATGGCTAAAGAGGCGGAACTTTTGAATGGGGTAATTCCTCACCTTGTTGATGATGATTTGTCTATCTTGCAATATGCTGATGATACCATTATCTTTTTGGAGCATGATTTGCAACAGGTAAAGAATCTGAAATTGATTCTATCTGTATTTGAAAAGTTATCTGGCTTAAAAATAAATTTTCACAAGAGTGAATTATTTTGTTTTGGCTAGGCGAAGGAATGTTATGATCAATATTCTAATATCTTTGGTTGTAAATTAGGTTCTTTTCCTGTCAAATATCTAGGAATTCCAATGCATTTTAGGAAGCTTTCTAATAAAGATCGGAAAGGTATTGAAGAAAGAATTGAGAAAAAGCTTAGTAGTTGGAAAGGCAAGCATCTGTCTGTTGGTGGTAGATTGGTTTTGATTAATTCTGTACTTTTGAGTTTACCCATGTTAATGATATTTTTTTTGAGATACCAAAAGAGGTTCTTCGAAAATTGATTATTATAGATCGAGGTTCTTTTGGCAAGAGGATGATCACAAGAAAAAGTACAGGCTCACGAGATGGGATATTGCCAACCCAAGGACCAAGGGGTTCTTGGGATTCATAATTTGGAAATTCATAATAAATGTCTTTTAAGTAAATGGTTTTTTAAGCTAATTAATGAGGAAGGGGTTTGGCAAGACTTATTGAAGAGAAAATATCTTTATAATAAGTCTATAACTCAGGTTGAAAAGAAACAGGGTGACTCCCATTTTTGGTTTGGACTTATGAATGTTAAAAGTACTTTCTTAAATATGGGTTCCTGGATTGTCAATGATGGGAAACAAATTAGGTTTTGGGAGGATAAATGGTTAGGCAACTTGGCCTTCAAGGATAAATATCCATCTTTATACGCTATTGTCTGAAGGAAGTCGTCTTCTATTGCCACCATCATGGGTTCTGTTTCGCTTAATGTTTCTTTTAGAAGAGCTTTAGTTTGCCAGAATCTTGCTTATTGGCATGAGTTTTGTGCTTCAATTGTACATATCCAGTTGAATTTTTCTTCGGATAGCTTTAGATGGAATTTTCATTAGAATGGTATGTTCTCGGTAAGGTCAATATACCTTGCTTTTAAGTAATAATGGCTATGTTGAAAGGAATAAGTGCATTTGGAAGCTTAAGATGCCACTTAAGATTAAGTTTTTCATGTGGTACTTGCTTAAAGGAGTTGTGTTGACTAAGGATAATTTGGCGAAGCGGAATTGGAATGGTAGCTTGAGATGTTCTTTTTGTATGAACAATGAGTCTATTCAACATCTTTTTATGGATTGCCATTTCGCGAAGTTCATATGGAGAGCAGTTCAGTTCTCTTTTGGTTTTAACCTTCCTTCTAGCATATCTCATATTTTTGATGGGTGGCTTTTGGGTGTTGACAAGAAAAAGAGTAAACTGATACTTGTGGAAGCTTCTGCCATTTGTTGGGCAATATGTCTAAGTAGGAATGATATGGTATTTGATAAATCACCGTCAATTTCCTATATGCAGGTCATTTTCAGGGCACAGTTAGAAAGATGTGATGAAGATGGAGAGTTACTAAAAGTTACATGTTGCAAGTTGGAGACTACGATTATGCAACTTTTTTGCCAACTATGGATGGAGATTCACAAATAGACTACAATAAATATGTTCTCCTTATGTCAGTTTTGGTTTTCCTTTATCCTTGTTTGGTGTGTTCTAGTTGTTTAGATCTACACTCTTTTCTCGAGCACTTCCTTATAATAATTGTCTGTAGCTCTCTTTGAGCAAAGGCCGAGATAATATATTCCATTATCTAAAAAAAAATTCATCCTTTCTTCATTCCTTCTGTGCAGCCCTTTCCTCCAGCGGGGGCCAACCGGCGAGCTCAAGCTCACTCAAGCATCGGTGGAGTGGCAACAGAGGTGGCAGGTGGTGGCTGGCCTAGGGCTCCTCCCTCAACCAAATTTAGCACCTAAAGTTAGAGCATTGCCAAAATTTGGAAAGCGACAGATTTCCTTCATGGGGCCGGTCTGATCACCGCCTATGGGACAGTGTAACTAGCACATAGGGTTGGTCTGACTGGTGGCATGTGACCGGTCGGACTTGCAGAGTCTGAGTCCAAGCCGATTGTCATCATGTCTCGGGTGTCACGCCCTGATAAATCCATCCCATATTAAAAATCACTTCCTAAAAGGAATAATAGAAATTATTAAAAGCTTAAAAGAAAACTCAAACACTAAAATACATCCAAGAAAAAAATTAATTTGAGCTTTGGATTATTTTTATTAAATTCTCAATGCTCTAAGAAAAAATCACATGACAGACATGTAGCTAAAACGAAATGAGAAAACTAAAAATAATCCTCTCCCTCTCTTTTGACCGAATCCGGCCCAAAGAGCTCTCCTCCTCTTTCGGCCCGCCGATGGAGTCCTCTTCTATTCCCTCCCTCTTCCTCTACCTCTCCCTCCCGGGCCTCTCTCTCCCTCTTGGGCTGCAGCCAGTCAGCCACCTCGGCCTAATTCCCCTTCCTCTCCCACGTACTGAAGTGCGTTTTATGTCCTCCCGATGGTCACCTCACCTCCTTCCTCTTGGGACGTATCTCCCCGTGGCCCATCTCAGCACCACGCGGCCCAGCCGCGGGTCGTCTCCCTCCTCCAGCCGAGCTGCCGCCCGTTCTTCTCCTGGCCGAACCCTACCGCCGCCGGCATGCCGATCTCACTCCCCGGTTGATTTCTTTTCCATTTGAATGCAAAAATCGGTTCCTCTCCTCCTCATCATCAATTACCCCATGTTTCCCCTTCTTGATTCGGCCTTTAATCGTCGAATTTAATCTCCGGTCAACCGCTGCCATTGATGGCCGGGCCGGCAAGCTCTCCGGCTGTTCCCCTCCTCTCCTCCAGCCGTTCCACTCTTCCAGGCCTATAAAATGGCGGCAGCATCTCCTCTCCCCTTACCTCTTACCACTGCCCGTGCTCCCTTGGTCTCCCCTCATCTCCTCACGTCTTCCTCTCTCTCCACCACACCGGCGAACTCCAGCCGCCCCCTCCCTATCGACCGGAGCAGCGGCAAACCACACCACCACCTCCCACGGCACCGCAGAGACCTCCTTTAGTCCTCTTAGGCTGTGTTCGATACCAGCCATTTCCAACTCCCTCTTGTTTTACACATGAACGCTTTTTAAACTAGTAAACGGTGTTTTTTTAAAAAAAAATATACCAAAGTGGCTAAAAAAATCATATTGATCTATATTTTAAAAAATAGCTAATACTTTATTAATCACGCGCTAATAGACTGCTTCATTTTTCGTGTGTGGGTGATGGGTCCAACACCCACCACCGAACTCAGCCAACTCCTCTTCCCAGGTCTCATCTCCGCTTTGCCGAAGGGCCGCCGGAACCAGAAGCACGTCCTCGTATTCATAATCACAATCACAGTTTTTCTTATGTGAAGAAGAGATGAGGTGTGGCCGTAGTCCTGCATCAGCATATATCATATCCTTATCTTTGTAGAATTAAGGGCTTATTTGTTTCTAAGGAAAACCAAAGGATTTCCAAAACAGAGGATTTGAATCCTGTATACAGCATTCGGTTTACAGGATTGAGCTATAGGAAATTTGAAGGGAAATTTCCTTTTGTGCCAGCTGTATCGGTAAAACACAGGAATTTTTGCATCCAGTACGACCTCTTGGAAATTTTCCTGGCGCGAAAAGAGCGCGCCACGAGCGCACTGCGCGCGTAATCTTTTCGCTCTCACGACAAAAAAGGTAGGTACCGCTGAAAGGAAAATAAAAAAAAATCACAGGAGGCAAACAGACTCGCATAGAAGCCATCGCCTTTGATCCCATCTCCTCTACCACTTCCTCTCCTGTCTCCACGATTGGGTACTGGACCTCCTCTCCCACATCGATCGCCGGCACCGGATGCACCTTCGCCGCCCAGGTGACAGGACGCAACGGCAACAACGGGAAGAGCCACGGCAGAGATCGGCAAGGACGCTTTGATTGCAGGTTTGGTGCCTCCTCTTCCGTTGTTATGCATAGATCTGATGCCCCCTGCTGCTTCCTTGCATACACCTTAGCATTTGGGTCGCTGCGGATGGGGTCGTAGCTGTAACACACAAGGGTTCATAGTGTCTGCCCAATGGCAATCTTGTTTGGTTCAGAGAAGTTGTTGCCGGCGGGCGGCGGCGATGAGCAGCAACAAGTAGTAGGCGAGCTAACCCTGTATTTGTGGTTTGTGTTTGATGAATCACCTAACGGTGACGATTGGATGATATGGTTCTTTCATCCATATTCTGTATATGTTTATGCATGTAAAATTAAGGTCCTTCTTCTAGCTACTTAGCTAGCATCTTGATGAGCAGAATGAGCACATCAGTTATCAGTTCATAATTTTTTAATAGCATCCAACTTTAATTTTTGTTCTGTTTTATCCTCCCTGTACTATTTATGATTTATTACAGATGTCTAATCGTCGGAACTATGAGCAACAAGGCCATCGTTCACAATCACAAGGAGTCAGTAATGTTGAAGCTGATATTTCAATCACATGGAGCTAGAAATTGCGGTGTATTTGCATAACCAGCATCTACGAGATAAAATTTACCACCAGGAACTTGAAAACCATGATTAAGTGCATCATGTAAAACTCTTGCATCTGAAGCTGATCCCTCCCATCCAGGATGTATATGCACAAACTTCAAATCAAAATCACAAGCAACCATACAATTTTGAGAGATTGATTGCTTCCTATTTCTATATGGCTCTTGCTCATCCAATGGAAGTTTCATAGGGATATGAGTACCATCTATAGCACCAATACAATTCTACACAAGACATGTCAAAGTTATTTTTGTCCAGTTCATGAAAAAATAGGATATTCAAAATATGAAATCAGAACAACTTAACAAGTGGCCATACCTGAAAAAAGGGGTAAAATTGTGGTTTCCTCAAGATTGGATGTGGGTGTAGGGATGGTGCACGAATGTAGACAGATGTGAGATTTGTGATTGCTTCCAGCACTGCTTTGAAATATCTATGTATTGTATCTGGACTATGCTGAAACCAATCTTGAAGTGTTTCATTGGTTGCATTTTTTGCCACTGTATATAAGAATATAGCAATCTGCTCTTCTACTGAAACATATATTGTGTCAGTTATGTACTCTTTCTCACGTAACTTATTGACTAGTGCATGAAAAATGTCGACCTCCATACGGAAGTTTCTTTTGCATAATCTTTCATGTCCTGTTAAAATCTCATGTACACGGCAACCCCCTGTAAGTTTTGACGTGTGCATTGGTCTCCTAATACAAGATGATTGTGATGAATCTCCTAAAGTAGGCAGAACAAAATGAATGAACTCATCATCACTTTCTGATATACGTCGGTAGCTTGGATTCATGGTGTGCAGATGCTACCAAACTGATGCTGTAAACTCAAATAGAAGAGAGCTAAAAATCAAGACTTTTGCTGAGGAAAAAACAATTTTGGTGCACCAGATGAACAAGTAGTACCTTGTTGTTACACGAGCAAGTAACGTCTAGCTATGGTGGCTAGACGATGAGTAAAGCTTCTGGAAAAATTATGCAGATAGTGAAGAGAAGAACAAAGGATCAGCAAGTTTCTTCCACAGTTGATGAGCAAATAGAAAGAACAGGGGAGAATGGTGCACAAGGCTAACGAGGGCTATTTATGCACTTCAAAGCTAACGGCTAGTTGAGGGCCGATGTCAGTTGATGCAAACTTAAAAAAATATATTTCAAATGGCAGATTTCCTACACTTCTCCTGTGGTGTATCCGAATGCACGTTTTTTTTCAATTCCTGAGGTTTAGCTTCCCATAGGATTGAACTCCACAACCATCTCTATTCCTTCATTTTTCCTAATCCTATGAATGAAAAAATCCTTTAAAACGAATAAGCCCTAACGTTCTTGGTAATCAATCGAATGATCTATAGCTGAAAATTAATAATACTAATTTCATGTAGTCTTTGTTGATGTACTACTTCTCCAAATACTCCTAACTTAATTACGAGATGGTGATTGCTAATTGGTGGTACTAGCTAGTAATAATCAGAATTAATTGCTTACAGGCCGGCTGGTCAAAGACGAACACGACCGATCATATATATATATCCTCTGGCGGTGGTGGGTCGAGCTAGCCAGCCAGCCAATTTTGACTTGTTCTAATCAATCACTCGTTGGTAATTACTACAAGTCAGATGATATGATGAACAATAAGCGACCATCTACCTTCTACTAGGTGGTAATTGCATAGCCAGAAATTTATTTATTTTACCACGGCTGGACCTGGGCGCTTCCATCAACTCGACCAGTTGGATCGACATGTCGTCGTCGTCGTCAGATGTCATATCTGGTGGTAACATCGCCGTAGCCATCGGTACGCGCCATGGATCATTTGATCGATTCCCTAGCTCTAGCTCCTTTTTGATCGATCTGATCGATTCATATAGCTAGCTAGCTAGATAGTTTGATTATTATTTGCGTTTTGCAGTGTCCGTGATCACAGGCGGCATAGTAGTCATCGTTGTTGCCATTCTCATCTACAAGTGCTGCAAGCTGCGCATGTGGCGCAAGTACGGCCTCTCGCCGCCGGAATTACCGGCATCGCAGCCGCCCAGGCCCAGGAGCGACGACGACCGTGCTGTGGCCGCGCTGACCACGACGACGGTTGACGTCATCAAGGAGCGGCCTGTGAGGTTCAGCTCGCCGCAGTTGCGGGAAATGACTGGCGACTACGCGGAGAGGCTTGGCGCCGGGGGTTTCGGGGTGGTGTACAAAGGGCAGATCCCCGGCGGTCTGGCAGTGGCCGTGAAGGTCCTTGGTAGCGACATGGGGAGGCGCGCAGAGGAGCAGTTCATGGCGGAGATCGGCACCATCGGTAGGACGTCGCATGTCAACCTCGTCATGCTCTACGGCTTCTGCTTCGACGCCGACCTCAAGGCGCTTGTGTACGAGTGCATGCCCAAGGGCTCGCTGGAGCGCTACCTGTTCTTCCTCGACGAACAGGAGCAGGGCCTCGGCTTCCACAAGCTGTTCCGCATCGCCGTTGGGACTGCCAAGGCGATCCGGTACCTCCACGACGAGTGCGCGCGGCGGATCATCCACTACGACATCAAGCCCGGCAATGTACTCCTGGACGAGGAGTTGGAGCCCAAGGTGGGGGACTTCGGGCTGGCGAGGCTGTGCGACAGGGAGAAGACGCACCTGACGATGACGGGCGGCGGGAGGGGCACCCCGGGCTACGCGGCGCCGGAGCTGTGGAAGCCGGTGCCGGTGACGCACAAGTGCGACGTGTACAGCTACGGCATGTTGCTGTTCGAGATCCTGGGCTACATGCATGGTATGGAGAGCCAGGAGCAGTGGTATCCCCGGTGGGTGTGGCAGCGCCTGGAGCATGGCGAGACGGAGGCGGTGGTGGCGCGGGCGCGGGCGCAGGGAGGCGCCGCCGCCGCCGACAAGGCGGAGCGGATGTGCACGGTGGCCCTCTGGTGCGTGCAGTACAGGCCGGAGGACCGACCGTCCATGGCCAGCGTGGTTCAGATGCTAGAGGCCCATGACCACGTCGCAGCGCCCACCGTCAGCCCCTTTGCTCATCTCGACCCCCAAGTCATCATCACCACTTCCTCTTTCTCCTCGCTGTTACACACGGATGACACCACTGGAGGCACCACCTCCACTCACATCTCACATCACATCACTTAATTACTTCTTCCAAAAATTCTTTGCTAACTACTCCCTCAATTCCATTTTAAGTGCAAATATTAGATTTCATGCACAACTTTAATTATTCGTCTTATTTAAAAAAAATATGATTAGTATTTTTATTATTATTAGATGATAAAACACGAATAATACTTTATGCGTGAGTTATGTTTTTATTTTTCCAAAAAAATTAAATAAGATGGACGATTAAAATTGGGCACGGAAAATCATGGCTGCACTTAAAATGGAACTGAGGGAGTAACTGCTGTATGCACAATAAATTTTAATTTTAGATCGTGCCAAAATCTCCTGACCTTTCTCATGCAAGTTGTTCCTCCTACGTTATGAGCCTCACTACAGTCCTCCTTACTGGTAGTAGAAACTAATCTGAACCATTGATCTTATTTAATCAAAGGATTCAGATGTATTTATACTACTACCCAGTTAGGTCTTGTTCGGTTTGGAGGGGATCGAAGAAGACTGGAGGGCCTTGTTTGGTTAATCCCCATGAGGGAGGGATTGTAGTGGATTTATTCCACACCTATTGTGGTGTGGAATTATTCCCCTATCAATCCCCTCCAATTCTCTTCAATCCCTTTCAAATTGAACAAGGCCTTATTAGTAGTAGAAACCTGGAGGGACATTGTTCTCAAGGCGCCCTCCTTGCCCTCTCGGTGTTGCCATCGTGCTAGTCGTGCCATTGTCGGCCCTGGTCTCTTGCACTGACGACAATAGTCGTTCATGCAGTCTTCGCGTGCACGTTTGGTGGCTATGTTCGTGTGCCCTTGTGGCCGCCACATTGTTCCGCATGCGTGCATTCGTGTGGCATTCGTGTGAGGCCCGCTTGTCTCCCACTTGTTACGGTTGACGCGTAGGGTCTCACTCAGTTCTCTCCGTGGATCATCTCTGGGAACCTGGTCCATGGTAATCTAGCTATTTGATCCATGGGTCTCTGCTGCAGACCTGCAGTCGTTCGATTCTCTCTCTCCTTGAGCGATAATGCATTACACATAATATAACGGTATAATAATAATAATAATAATAATAATAATAATAATAATTAAACAACTTGGAAATATCCGCTTTAACTGAATTGCACCTAAAATTCGGATGTTCGTTTCTCGGCCATACGAGCTCCTAATTGATCGGTTTAGATTGTTTAATTTTTTTTTCATAACTTCAAGAATCCGTTTCTGTTGTTTTATTTTGTTGTTTTAATGTATTGTTATCGTTTCTTTCTTAGAGTTGTATAGCTCTGTTTTGTTGCTCGTGTAGTTGTCGTCATTTCTGAAGTTCCCAAGGTGCATATCAAGTTGTCAGAAGACCTGCTCCCTTACTTGGATTCAACACATAATAGCTGAACAAGGTGGCAAGAAAGCAAAAGGAACCAGTCTATCAATGCGCGTGGTCCATCAATATGTTGAATTTATAAGCACATAATGATTTAATTTATTTCATAAATAATCATGATATTGCATATGTAAACTAGAATAATCATATCATACGATCTATAAATATAGATTAGACTGTAAAGCATGAACAGATCGAATATGCGAAACATGTTAAATATGTACCGAGGAGGGCACGCGAGCGATTGTGGACGATCAGGTATGGCGCGCAGCACGCGAGCGATTGTGGACGAACAGGGAAAATAGGCAATGTGTTACTAAACTCCCTCTGCATATTATCCTATGAGATGGGCTTTTTCGATTTTCTGTAAAATTAATTTTTAAATAGAATAAGGTCTATCTATTAATTCCAACCCAATCGGTTTTGGGGATCGGTTTTTTCAAGCATGGCCACTTAGGAGTATGGTACTGCTGTAACCTAATGGTCCTCTTTAAAGAGGAAAACGATTCAGTGATTATTGCTGCTGCATTCGTTTTATCGCTTGAATAATTTATTCGGCGGCGACGTTATCTGGTCATCATTGAATCTTTTTGCCTGTTATCCAAATTAAGCACCGTGTGTATCGAAGACGGATTGCTTTCGTAGGTTCGTTTATGTTACGAAACTATTATCTTCTGCCAGAGATAAATATAGACTCATACCAAATATATGTAAACGTATACTAATAAGACTCTTCCTATTATGGGTATATATACTGAGAGAGAGAGAGGGCTTGAGAGGTTGGTTGATGTATCTATATATAAGAAAGCAATAAAGCTGTGATGCCTCTCTCTATATCTGTGTTCATTGTTTATTTACTATATGATTGTGTGCATGAGATCGTCGTTTTCTACTCCGGATCAGCGAATATGCCACTAGTTATTTAACACGTTATCAGCACGAGTTCACTCGTTCCGCTGATCCGATAAGCGTTTTTACTAGATCAATTTGTTTTCGTAATAATTAGATTGATCTATTGTGTTTATACATGTGTCTGCCGTCGGCCGAGACGATGGCCTCTGTACGTAGCCGCGCACCGAGGCAGCCCGGAGCAGCAGCCCCGCCGGTCGTCGGCACTGGAGCCCCCAAGCCATCTGACACATGCGCAGATCGCAGTTGCAGCAGCCATATGCCAAGCACAAAACATGCATGCCCACGCATATGGACCTATCCAAATTCAATTCACTAATGCATATGCATATGTATCGGTACAACTATATGATCTCGTATCTAACCACAGATTGATCTATTGTTTTGCATGTCCGCCGTCGGCTTGCTGATCTACCGCCTGCGCCGCCGCGCGAGGCACCGCGGTCAGGCGCCTGCACGTCCGGCACTCGTGCCGGAGATTGCTGTGTCCACGCAGTCACGCACGGAGATGTGGCGCCTGGGCCGCTCGCGCGCAAGCTTCGCGTACAAGCCGCCGACGCATGCACATGCACTAGTGCAGATTGCAACCAGCCGATGAACCAAGAAAGCACATGCGTATGGGTGTGTGATCCACTCTACGTTCAATGCATGCACGGATCAGCATGCAAGATGCACGTAGTGACGTACCAATCGATCTTCACCAATCCATCGTATTCTTCAACAACCGGACGTCATCACGCCGATCCGCGGCGATACGCTATGCATTGGCATCCGCGGATCGGCGAACTTTACGTCGGTTAAACGAGATAAGTTATCGATTTAATCAATTCTAAAAATTAGCAGCAGCGAGATTAATATGCTAGATCATGCCTCTAGTCGTTTTATTTTCTCGCATGAATAGATGTATTTGTCCGGCCTTTGCGCCGACTCTTCTCTTGTTATATTGCCGACCACGAAGTTCAGCACCACGCGCCCGAACGCGCTTACCGTGTACACAAGAAGGTGCACATACATAATCCGTTTAATTGAACGACGGAGTGCTATCCCAAACGACGACACCTCACACTCGGTAACACACGACACCACCTAGAAGTTGTCGTCTATCTGGCTAACATAGTCGTTGATCTACGAATATATTAATACACTTGTCATCGCCGATCTTATGGATCAGCGCGCTTGGGACACTGTGTCGGTTGTGACTTGTATGTTAATAATCCGTCATATTGTTATCTGTATGAAGTAGATGGTAACAAATCCGAGTCATTGGCACCTGCATGCGCCGCCGCCGCCGCCTGTACGTAGCGACACCCGGACGCCACCGCATGATGTCTTCCCCTTTGTCAATGGTTGCCGAATCAATCCAGAGACTTTTCCTCGTCGATCCGCCATCTGAAACGTCGACTCGACGGCCTTTCGAGGCCATCCGCAATGCAATTGACGGTCGCCGCCCGTAGCGACGCCGAGGAGCTTACGCCCGCCTCCCCTCGCCACCGGTACGCACGGCATGCCTCCCGTGCTACCACACGCGGCCGGGACGAGGGTCGAAGCCGCCGTGAGCACCCGCCGTCGATAGCCGTCCGCCATGCCGGCCTGTATGCCGAGCCGAGTTTCATCGACACGTAACATGGAGCTATGATTGTCGGACGCCGGTCACGGCCTGATGCCAACGAATGCCGGTGTCGGTGCTACTAGATGTTGCACCGCCGCTCCGCCTCTGACCATGGCAACTTCCCATAGTCGTCCATCTCTACCGAGGGCTCACTAGCACGTTTGCCATTGGTTCCATCCGTTGTCTCCATTGAAGAATGACAATTAGATCATACCTCACCCACTTCTTGTGGGGGAAGGTCGTAATAGCCCATTAGGCAACATCTGAGATGGGCTGGCCAGGTTTTAAAGCTAGCCAGTATAAGGAGGTGGGCCAAGTAGAAATTGGCCTATTAAAAGGAGTCGGGCACGAACCGTGATTTTTGTCCGAAAACGATATTTTATTTCAAAAGTCCTTGGTTTCCAAGGCATTATGCGGAACTCGGAAATTATGCGGAAAAGTCCTATGGGACATTAGAAATTACGGGGAATATACATTCGCCATTTATACTCTGAACCTTCATGAATTAGGTTTACGCCAAATAGAGAAGAATTAAGGATTTATACCTTAGTCCCGTATTTATAAGTATTTGCTTTAACTATTTAGTTAGTTTCTTGAATAACCATAATCAATCCTAGAAACATTGTTTTTAGGCAAAAGAGCTTCCATGAACTTGTGAAACCTTTGTTTTAGCACCCCTTTTGGAAGCATTATATTTTATGGTTTATTTACTAGCAATTGTTTGTTTGGGGTAATTGATTGTTCTGTGGGTTAGTAGTTCTGTAAATTACACATACCTTTGAATAGTAGAAAATCATGTTAATTGCTAGGATTGTAATAAAAGGTGTGTATAGAAAACCATTATTTACTATTTTATACTCGTTTTGTGCACTTTATTTACTAGAAGTAAACCGGTAGAAAGTTGCATAGAAGGACATCATGTAAGTAGTTGCATGTAGCAAATACATTTATTGCGTAAATGAGTAATAGAATTATTCATATATCTTCTCTTTGTCTAATTGTCGCCACATTTGTAGAAGGCACAATTATATATTCTCCGTATAGAATAAATATATACACTTTTCATGAAGAGAGTATACTTAGAGATATTTATTAGTGCATAACTATCATAGAAGATAAGCTACAACTAATTTATATTAATTGTGTCCAAGTAGATACAATGTCATCGAATTTGCAAATATATAGACGAGAAGTCTATATGCCAATATGCCCTGCACCAAAATTATCTATCAAAAGACTATGTACCTATGCAGTGTCTATAGTTAATTTGATTGATAATGTTATGTGCATCTTCTACGTATAAATGACTTTACAAATGAAGTATTGTTTTTATGGATGTATGTACATTATTTTGAATAAATTGGTCATTTGCATTTGAAGCAATTTTGACCTAGATGCAACATGTTTAGTTGTTAGAATTGATACACAAGAAGTTGTATTACTGTCAACATATGCATTTGCACGCACATATATGACTTATACTATTAATATGTTCATGAAGAACATGCATACTCAAAATTTGTGGAAGGAAAGGAATTTGGTATATTTGAATTTGATGTTCAACTCAGGGGGAGACGAATAGTAATGACAGTAATCTTGCATTCGTTCTTTTGAGATAGTATTTTACAATACACGAGTTACATTATAGTTTAGATTAAGTTCAATATGAAGAACATGGTTAAGCTCATGTAGAGCATCTTTATCTTTTGCTTTAGTCATAGAAGCTTCTGCATTAGATTACTGAATTTTTTTTTATATAGGTCATCTCACCTTACCTATATTGCCTTTTTTTTACTTGTAGTAATTCTTTAACCTTTTGTGGAATAAAATTGTGAATTGTATGTCTAACATTGAACGTAAATATTTGTCTTGCCTATTATTTGAAGTTTTTTTGGCGAATGTATTCTTATTATCCACTAAGCCTCAATCAACCATGTAGGTTGATAGTTCTAAGTGCATTGACGCCATATTGGCATACATGTAAAGTTTACTTATGCACATGAACAATTAGAATATTTATGTTTAAGCATTGAAGCTTAAATATATCCACCCGCAACCACATTATTTCTTTTAGAAAAGTTGTACCATGAAGTTACAACAAATATGTGGGTTTCACGATAACTATTTTGTAAATTTTCTTATGATTGGCGTGAAAAGGGGGAGGAATATGTGTATTTTGCAAATTAATTTCAGAATATTTGCAATAAAGAAGCATAAGAAATTGTGGATATGTGGCAGGCAAATTGGTGTGTTATAGGTCAAATGCTAGAAGCAAAAATAGCCCAAACTATTAGCGAATCTTATTTGGGATAATTATGAATTATTGTCACACAACGAAGTGTGTTATTTATTGGCCATTGAAAATTGCATATTCATCGAGGAAGTATGAAATTGCATATAGCTATTTGAAAGCTATTGGTTTACTTGTAGTAAATAATATCCTAAATAAATAATGACCTTTTGGATTCGAATGATTCTGAATGATCAAATGACACCACATTTACTTAGGCGTAATGAATAAAAGTTAGATATGTCACCCAATTAATTTATTGGCATATTCAAGAAGAATAAATATTCTCGTAGAATAATGTTTGGGTGATTTGAAAAGTTCCATGATGGTTAAACTTGTTCATAGATTAATGTTTTAGTGTTATAGTTATGTTCTTGAAGAC